AAGGCCACCATCTTCATGACAGGCACTGCCTCGCACTGTAAATAAACAGATGCATGAGAGCTTTGTTCTGGAGTGGATGCAGAGCACCACTCTGGGGGGGACCAGACTACAGTGGGGACGTAGTAGGAGGGGCTTGGCAGAGCCTAAGCCGATGGTAGAGCAATGCAGCTGACCTTGTCCTAAACACAACAAGGCATGCACCTAAAATGGCAATGCATGCGTGCATAATGCATGTGTGCATGTATACACATGTGTGACATGTGTGCACTCAAAGAGGGGTGGAAGGACAGAGACATCCCAACAGTGCATCAAGGGGAGAAGGCTATTTGAGGCAAAACGAAGAGCAAAGAGGGGGTGTCCTGATGCACTGCACAAATCACACAAAGCAAGCAGATCAAGGGGCGGGGGGCAGATCACTTCACTGGGGATCCAGATCCTGCCCATGAAGGCTTCCCAGGTTATCTGGGACAACTTAAAAATAAAACGCGAAACTACACACGTGACATCGCTCGCAGCACCCGCAAGCACCACACATGTTCGCTATGGAAACATGCCTGTGTCTATCACACAGCTGTGGGGGTGAGGTTTAACAGGCAAGTGATGAGCATATTGAGTGCTTATGTTATAAAAAATGACTGATTTGTATTTATTTATGTGTGTGTGTGTGTGTGTCCGCACACACATGCATAAGCAGTGTGCCATGGCATGTGTGTGAAGGGTGAAGGTCAGAGGACAACTTGCAGGCATCAGTTCTTTTTGCTGACCACGTGAGTTCTGGGGATGAAACCAATGGGGTGAGGCTTGGCAGCAAGCACCTTTACTCAGTGATCCACCTTACCGGCCCTGGGTTATCTATTACACTCTCAAGGAGCGGTTCTCCCCTCTAGGCTGCCTTTCATTAATTCTGCACACACTGTACAGCTACTGGGTCCAAGAGGGTCATGCCCCGTGCCAGTATTGGCATAAAAGCGGAGGGAAGAAGAGTACCAGGCGCCAGGATGAAGGTGACGGTGAGGGCACCTCAAGTATGGGGTCACTGGGGCAGAAGCGCCCCAGGGCCAAGGCTTAGAAGCGAAGACATTTGGTGGTGTGTTGAGTGAGATCCAGCATTATGCCTGGTTTTGGCAGCCTTCCACCCGGGGGCGACTCTGCAGCTTAGTAAACCCAAGCATGTGTGTGTCTGCTGTCTGTTTTATTAAAGTGTTTATGGGATAGGTGCTACAAGCTGGGGACTTCCAGGCTATTCTGAAACCAGAGTCCATGCTTTCCACCCCTCATCTTCTGCAGAGAGCTGCAAACTCAGTCAATGGCTGGCTCTGTTGGCGACAAACACCCATATGACGACAGGGTAAGCACCCTGTATACAGTGATAAATAGGACAGCTGCTGTAGAGAAGAAGCCAGATCCCCATGTTAAAGCCAAGTAGAGCTAAATGTCGTGACCAAGGTGTAAGGAGGCACAGTGGGGTAGAGGCTGAGCTGAACTGGAGCTCAGGACGTCCCACTCCAGACAGGCTACTCTGTGTCACTCTCAGACACCGGGAAGGCTGCATGGTGGGGTGAAGGCTGCATGGTGGGGTGAAGGAAGGCTGCTCTAGGCAGATTTTCTGAGCATGGCCTGGGACTCAAATAGATGGTGCAAGAAGAAAAACCTTTGTTAAGCTCCAAAGAGATGCATGAGAAATGGCCATTAGTATCTGAGAGGCCATGGCCCTACCACAGCCAGGGTCTGTGTTAATGTCCATGGCTTCTGGTACCAAAGGTTGTGAGGATACCCAGAGTCTGGGCTGCTACCTGAGACCGTGTGGGTGTCTGAGAGCCATACAGGGGCCATACTGATCTGAGTGGTCTTTGCTGCCACCCAGGATGATGGTGACATCTGGGTCAAAGTTGCTGATGAGGGCAATATCTGGGTCTGTGGTCTTGCTGTAACTGGGGTCAGTGTTGATGTCTATGGCCCAGACATGTATGTGTTGAAATTCCAGGGTCATGGTGATCTGGCCCTGGGAGATCTGCCCCTGTCCTTTGTTGGCCACTGCAATGGGAGAGCTGGTCCCACCCCTCATGGGAGAGCTGGCCAAGTCTTCATCATAGGTGTGGAAGAGTTGATCCCAATGGTATGGGAGAAGGAGATCTGGCTCTGCCCCTTACCTTAGAGGGACAGTCCCAGTGGAGGTCCAGACCGACCAACTCGCTCTCACCCAGGTCCACATCCAGTGCTTTGTTATGATCCACCCCAACATCTGCCCCATCTATGACTTGCTGGAGCCTGTGAAAGGACCAGTCCTACAGAACCATAGATAGCTGCAGAACCATGACTCAGGCAACAGTAGGATATTTAAGAGGAGTTTCAGTGAGGGTCCATCCAGGATTGATGGCATACCAGAAGCGAGAGGCCTTGAACCAGGCCAGCAGCTTAATACAGTGGACATTTGTAAGGGAAGCTGTTTGAACAAATGGTCTACTGCATGACATGCCACAGCTCCCAAGGCCACTAAGAAGTTTGGACAAAATGGTCTACTTTGTGACATACCACAGCCTCCAAAGCCACTAAGAACAATGAAGAGGTAGTGGAGAGGAGGGAAAGACAGATCAAAGTGGGGTTTTGTTTATTTTTAATTTACATATACATTTCCATTTTCTTGGCGGTTGTGCTGCAAGGATGAAGAATGTATATGGAGGGACCGGGAAATGAGCGCGATTGGGACTCATGATGTGAAATTCCCGGACTCCATAAAAACTCTGGGTAAGATAGTTTCTGAGAGGCGTGTGTTCCTCTGATACATCTGACAGTGTTCCATTTATTGGTGCAAAGAGTCTGTGTAGGAACATCAACAGCACCGAAGGCTGCATTGGGTGAGCGTGTTCCTGGGGCAAAACCACTTAGCTCATGGGGGAAGAAAGGATGTAAAGACAGCGGGTCCTTCTCTGTGGCCAGCGCTAGATGATGGTTGATTAGCACAATAGTTCACGCCACTGAAGTCCTGCTCTAGGGGAAGTCTTCTGGAGACAGTTTTCCTGCCCTGCTGCAGTTTCCTCTAGGAGTCCACTGTGGACCAACGAAATAGGAACTGCTCGTCCTTAATGAGAAATCGTTACTCACGGAAGTGTGTTCACACCAATGCCATACCTGAACCATTTCCAATCTAGTGAGTTCCAAACCCACTGACCCGAATGCATACTTCCCAGCCCGGGCCAACTACTTGAGGTTCATCTTGACTTTGATGCGTCCTCTCTTGCAGCCTGCCTCCTCTCTTGAATTATAAGTTCTAGGACACAAGCCACTTAATCGCGGCCATGTTCCCACCCCCCAGTAGGAGTATATAAAGCAGGATGGCTGAACCTTATCCCAGCAACTCTGAAATTGTGACAGCCTGTAGCTCAGGACCCAGCTGAGCTAGGCCCCTTACCCTCCCTGGCCTTCCACAAGCCTGTCACTCCCTGTACCACTGGCTGTCTTTGATGGCTTGCCGGGGAGGTCTTTAACAGCCTAGTTGTTTCTTTTTTATCTCTGTATACCCAGAGATGAAAGGGAGGGTCTACAAATGTGGTTTGTAGGAGACAGAACTGTCACCTGAACAAAGAAGGAACTGGACAGGCTGCCACGACTGGGGACCAGGGTCCTCTCTCGCCAGAGCTACTCTGATGCCAGCCTGATAGATTGTTGTAGGCCGGGGGCTTGAGATTACAGTCAGCTGTGCTCTCAAGATAACAGCAGGCATCGCCCTCCAACTGGCTAGGGACTTCTGGAATGTGGTAGAAGCAATTTACACCCTCATTGAGGGGGTGATCCCAGCTAAAGCAACCTCCAGGGACATACAGTAGCTGGACTTCTCACCTACTAGTGCATTCCGAGTTTAAAAAGAGGAATTTTAAGGCCATCAATTGGCTCGCAGCACTTGTAGATACCGACAGAGAACATGGGACCAGACGTGACATCAGGTTATTAAATTAGTGTCTTTGCAGAAATAGCACAGGTCTGTCCGGCTCCTCGTGGACTTGCAGGTTTGATTAAGTGTCTCTGCAGGCAGAGCTTTTATTCTCAGGATAATGACATGACAGAAGAACCCTGCACAGTCTTAAACTTGTGGAACCATGGTCAGGGGAATGGAGCAACCTTGGAGCCAGTGTGGAGGGGGACAGGGAAGGACCCTGGGGTCCGTCAAAGGCTGTGGTTATCAAGCGCACGCCACAGGGGCACCTCTTCCTGCAGGTGCTCACCTTGACTTTGATTTGACCTCTGGGCAATGCTGAATGGTGTCTTGGCATGTGGCCCGTGTGGCTACTAAAGGCAGGCTTAGAAGAGGTGATGTCCATCCATTGTCCTTCCATCCCAACTTCTCTGAGAGGGGGTACATCAGCCTACATCGTGTTCAGGCGACTACCTGCAGCCAACCGCTCTTGTCTAAACTCCAGCAGGTACCCTGTAGCTCCCTCAGTGTGTATGCGTGTGTACATGCATATGAGAGAGATGGGGGTGGAGGGAGAGGGAGAGAGAAGGAGAGAGGGAGAAGGATGAACGGACGAACGGATGGACGGACGGACGGACAGGCGGACGGAGGCATGGAGCAGCCTGAGGTTGCTGGGCTATGTTCCCTATAGTCACTGCACTAACTTCACCGTCATTTTCTATGCCTTTAAGGTATCATGCTGAAAGCGGAAATGACCCAGAACACACCTTTCTGGGCTGACATCCTTATCCGCCTTTTTTTTTTTTTGTTGTTGTTGTTTTGCCATTTTGTCAAAGAAAAGCTGCGGCCGATTTTCACGTCACTTCTAAAAAAGTGTAGAGCTTTGCTGTGCCCTATTTCTTGATGAAATCACCAGGGGTTCACCAATAAACGGCGGTGACCTTATTTTTGCACTCATTGTGTCTGGTCATAAGTTAGGCATAAGATTTGTACGTTCAATTACGTAAAACTCTGAAAACCCCCAGTGGTCAGACTTTCCATCACAACACCCCCATGGCTGTGACCACGCAGTTCCGTTCTGGCCACTTACCTCTCAGCTGCTGGAAGCAGGAGGCACTGCTGTCTGGCTCCAGGGGGTGTCTCAGGACCCCATTGCTGGGCTTGGGCCTCTCGTATTCTCTCTCTGGGAGCATCGCCTGCTCACTCTCCATGGCAGGGTCTGAGTGTGGGGGCAGGGATTGTGGGAACCCAAACATCAAGAGGGACGAGAAGAAGAGCAAGGCACCGCAGAGCAGAAAGCCGCCCCACCAGGCTCCAATCCAGCGTGGGTCATCTGGAGTGATGTCCAAGTTACCTGCCAACAGAAAGGGCACCATTTAGTGGAAAGGCGGGGCATGTGGGCTGTGGGACTCTGCTTGGATAAAGATGTCCCCTGCATGGAGTTCAAGGGCTGTAGAAATGGGTGAGGGGGTGGAGCTCTGAGTTGGGAAACTATCTTCCCCGCGTCAGAGCTCCTGTTTCTCCCATCACCGGGGATGGAGCATGTTTCCCCCTTAATTTCCCTGTCTGCTCCACGCTTATAATCTGTCTAAACAAAAACAGCGAGGAGCCAGACAGCTGAGGCAGGCTGGAATTGACTCATCTCGCTGCATTGCCAAGCCGAGTTCACGAAAACACGAGCAAATATTCGCTATCCAAGGGCGGACTGTCACTCGGTCTACGCTCTCTCACCTGAAACAAACGGCTGGCCTGAAATTTCATCCCATCCCTTGCAGCGTGAATTAAAGCAGGCTCATAACTAAAAAGAGCAGGTGCAGAATGCAATTCAAGCAAATGGATGCCCAGGATGCTTGAATGAAAATCCTGCCCTTTTGGAGATTTTTTTTTTAACTCTATGCCTCAGTTTACAAATCTGCAAACAGTGATGATGATGATGACAGCATCTACCTTGCAGAGTCATTAGTAAGGGCCAGAAAACCACACCAGACACGTGTCTGAATACTTGGGGACGACAATCTGTCATTTATGGTGCCTAAGATTCTACTGGCTAGGATGACCCAAGTCTTGAAGATGGCCCTTGGCTGGGCTTCAGCCCTTCATTAGAAAGCTCTGGCATAGCTCTGGTGCTGAAAGACACCATACATCACCATGCCGTTTGGCTACGTGGATCCAGGCAGCTTGGTACTGGCATGTCTCTGATTTGCCAACCCAAGTCCTGGGAATGAACGGGAACTGCAGCTTAGTCCATGGCTTTCGCTGTCCATTTCACAGCTGCCCTACAAAGTGGTGTGCTCGGGATGAGCTACCTAGAAATGTCTTTTTTAAAGCCAGGCAGTGGTGGCGCACGCCTTTAATCCCAGCACTCGGGAGGCAGAGGCAGGTGGATCTCTGGGAGTTCGAGGCCAGCCAGGTCTACAAGAGATAGTTCCGGGACAGGCACCAAAAGCTACAGGGAAACCCTGTCTCGAAAAACCAAAAAAAAAAAAAAAATGTCTTTTTTAAATGAGAAACCGTGCACTCCCAGAACCCAAAAAGATTCTTGGGGACCTGGAGAATAGTAGGTGGGGCGAGGAAAATGGGGCTGCAGGCCGGGACCAGATGGATGGACAGCTGGGGAAAAGTGATGGCCGCAGACACCAGATGAGCATTTTGCCGTTTGCAAAGTGCCCCCTGCCTCCCGCCAAGCCTCTTAACACTGGCTATCATTTTCCCAGGGTCTCCTCCGAGCCAGGAGTCCCACACAGCACGCTCTTGCTCTGTCAGTAAATTCTTCCTATAAACTGATAAAATGGGGTCTTTCATGTCCTCCATTTGGTGTGAAAACTGAGGCTTGGAGAGCCTAGGTTCTTCGCTCGAGTCCACATGCAATGCAGTTGGGGACACAGAGATCTTTACACACAGACCCCCTCACTCGGTACAGCATCTCGTTTTAGATTTCTCTTCAGTCCATCTTCAACATCCGGCCGTTGTGGGTGAACACTAGATTCCTGTTCTCTGTGCATTGAACTCAAGGCCACTGATTGTTCTGGTTAGGTACAAACTGGCTTTGGGATACTGATATTCTCTACCCTGACTGATGCTCAGTGGCCCTCCCCGTGCGTGCTACGATGGACCAGTTGCTTTTGCATAGCCACGTGTTGGAGAGGAGAGAGCTTAGCTGTAGAGGGCTGGGGTGGCGGCGTTGAATCCTGGCTCTGCAGCTCACTAGCAACCCCCGAGCCTTTTCATCATTTGTGAAATAAAGATGCCACCGCTAGAGTGGTTGTAAGGATAAAAGGTAACAAGCAAGCATCCCTTGGCACACATGCGCTCTTCGGATATGGCAGCTCTTTTTCTTTTCCCCCCTACGTATATGAATGGGCTTTTCCATGTATGGGTTTTATTTTTAAACAGAATGCCAGGGCCCGGGAAATCTCAAGGTGATCCTGGAAGCAGCTTCATGCAAATGAGGGAGGAGAAAAGGAAGTACAATCACCTGGGGTGGCTGAATAGGGCTGTTTTCCCTGCTTGTCACTTACCGTGTTTCTTCACCTGCTGCCAGGCAAGGGAAGAAAACAAAGGGGAAGGGAGCCGCTGCTGCCGCTGTCTACAGGCTCCAGAGGAGAGCAAGACAGAGAAACCCTAGCAGTTGCTGGAGGGGAACAAAATTAGTGCCCTGCAGAAAGTCACGGGAAATCAGTGATTCTTTTTTGGATGTGTGAAAAACATCCCGGGAGGATGGCTTGGCACTGGCTATGTGAGCTGTCTGTGTCCCCTTCTTCCCTTTGGGCGTGCATGTATAGAGAGCTGACTGCTTGAGAATGGCACACCTGCCCTCTGGGTCAGGCTAGAAGGGGCCTCATGTGAAAGTGTGGAGGAAGGCAGGATTCACAAACCACTGTTGGCTTTCTGGGGAGAGCTCACGCTTCTCCATGTCAGTGACCCGTGAACCATACTATGGCAGGAGAGAGACAGCACACTGATGGGACTCCACTTGGCTTCCGAGTGTGCACGGCAGAGGCCGAAGGAGTGACTCTCTACCTGACTTACAGAAGACAGCTCAAGCTTGAACCTGTCTCAGAAACTCCTCTGCCAGTGTCTACCCCAAAACTTAGTGCACGTCTAAATGCATGTGTGCCTAAGGGAGCCTCCAGTTTGAATGCATCAATGTGGCTGTTGTGGAGGAGGCCAACCTCGGCTATGGCTATTATTCTTCCGGAGCAAGCCACTCTGTTTCATGAGTCAGAATCTCTCATTGGCCTGCGGCTCACTAATTTGCCTACTGGCCAGCAAGCCCCAGGGGTGTTCTTTTGTCCCTACCTCTCCAGTCCTGGGGTCACAGCATGCACCACAATACCTGGCTTTTTTTTTATGTGGATCTGGGTTTGAACCCATGTCCTTAGACATGTGGGTTTTAATAGCTGAACTATCCCTCAAATTCCTCAAATATTTTCATGAGGAATTCTGGCTACTTAATAGTCAACAAAACAAAACAAAACAAAACAAAAACAACAACAAAAACCCTCTCTACATGCGTAGCAATTGTCAAAGCTCAGGAGACACTGTTCTTGAATAGCTGATAGTGAGATGGGGTTCTTTGTGTTGACAAAGAACCAAATGGCAGATGTCATTAAGGTCTGGGTTCTGACCAGCTCTTCTTCTGGAAGAGTATATGTCCCTGGCTTGGTGAAGCGTGGCCACACGCTAGAGTTGTACAGAGGAAAACGTGAGCAGGGGGAACAGGCATCGCTTCTGTGTGTGCCTGTGTATGTGATGTGTGTGCTTCCCACGTTTCTTCTTCCCAAGAGGAATATATGAACAAGCCACAGTGAACGAAATGTCTCCATTGACCTGCTTTGGATACTTGAGGGAACAGGATGTAAACTTACACCATCCTAATGCACAGATTTGGGGACATAGTTGTTACTGTAGCATGACCTAGCCTATCCTGACTCCTACAAATGGCTTGGGAAGTAGCCACCCCTCTCTACTGACAGCAGTCCTGGGGAGGCTGCGGACACCCAAAGTACTTTTTCAGGGAGGAACTGAGTTTATTTCTCTTTCCAGTTCTAGTTCCGTATTGACTTTAAAGCTTGTTTTCAGCCTGTTGTTTGAAGGTGGCTGTTTGCAAGATGTCCAGGACAAACTGAAAAGCACCAATCCATCTCATTTGCTCAGAGACATTAATACACCCATGAAAGAAGACACGGGGATGAGGAGAGCTGTGCATCAGAACAGAGTGGGGGCAATGCCTCAGGCTGAGGGCCATACCAGGAGAAGCACTGTACACAGGGAAAGTACTCTACTGCCACTCGCCCACATTTGGTTCCTCTAGGAGCTGGGAAGACATAGGATCTCATTCTCAGGGTGGTTCTATCAATCAGAAGTGCAAAGTTCTGGAAGAGGCTGAAACCACAACACTATCTGCTAGCTGTGCCTGGAAGGGACACATCCATCACGAGATGGTACACATCCATAACGAGACGGGACACAGCTGGGGACTCTCTTTGCAAATGTCTTGGACATGCATACAGTCTCCCTCTTTAGAAAACCCATTTTTTTTTATTTGTGTGTCTCTGTGTGTTTGTGTGTATTGTATGTTATGTGTGCATGTGTGTTCTTCTGCATGGGCACATGAGTGTGGGTCTGTGTGCCCCTGTGGAACAGGATGCCCGGGTGTCTTCCTCTGTTGGTTTTTATTATTTCTTGCTTTGAGATGGGGCCTCTCACTGACCCGGAAGCTCACCACGTTGGCTAGGTTGGCTGGCTAGCATGCTCTGGAGACCTGTGTTTCTGCCCTCCACTGCCCTCCAGTCCTGCAGCTCTGGACTTGCATAGCCATGCTCTGCTTGTTCACGTGGGTGCTAGGGATTCAAACCCAAGTCCTCACGCTCATGGAGAAAGCCCTTTCTCCAGCCCCAAGATCCACTTCTCTAAGTGCTTCACTTTGACATCTGGGTCGCCTTTATTGCTTTCTAGCTCTGTTGAACAAAGTGAGCAAGCCACTAATATCAGTTTGCCACCCCTGCAAAGAGTAAGTGACTATAAGGGGCCTATCAGGGCTTTGTCCCCATTTCCAAGGTTAAAAAAGAAAGAAAAATGGGAGGAACAGGAAGAAACCAGCACACAACTCATTAACAGGTCTACCCATGAGACTGTGAGAAGAGTGGGCCAAAGCAAATTGGGGACAGTTGCTTCTTTCTCTTGGGCCATTCTGGTGTGCGAGGGCCATTATGGCTCTCAGGGCATTTTTAGGATCATGTGTCTATTTCCTTAACCTTCGTTATCAGACTCTTTCTATGGGATTTGGGACTTCCAAGAGTATCGTTAAGTTGCAAACCTAATTAGAAAGTGGAGGCAGGGAGGGTGTGGAAC